TGTAGACATATGCAGTTGCCTTATCTATAAAGGTACTCATTATTATGCTAAACTGCAGCAAATGTGTCTTTTCAGTGTAACCATGCGCTTTCCCTCTACAGAATAAGATGCCAATGGATAATGATCTTGAAGGCTATGGTATTGAACAAGAATCAATTCCCTACTGCTTTCTAACAGAAAAGACCTAAAATGCTCCAGGTACCAGGCACTGAGTTTCTTCACAATGAAGTAGAGATTGTTTTCCAAAATCACTGTCTGTATAATCTCAGCAAAGTCAGGTAGCCCTCCAGTGGAACCATATGGCATGATCATTCCAGCAGAATACCGTGTCCCGTAGTATGTTACAGCATTTGACAACTGTATGCTGGTTAGCTGAGGGAACAGTTTCTTAACAGACTCTTGGATTCTGTCATCTAGTACTTCCAGAGGCACAGATGACACTTTGCTCACGATTAGTGCAGGAATACTGGCATTTCTCTGCCAATGGTAGGCCATCATCATCTGATGTTTTGTTGAAAGTGACAACAAAACATTCTTGAAGTTACCTGTGAACCTGACTACTCGTTTAAAGAACTTATGTTTGGACTCGAAGCGCATAGCCCATAATCCAACTAGAGGACCAAAAGCTTCTATCAGAGCAGGGTAGTGCTCCAGAAAATGGTGTTTTGGTGTTAGTTTCAGATTAGGGAAAACTTCTTGCAACCTCTGACGATGCTCTGAAATTTTCAGATCAAGATAAGTTAGACTTTCACATGTGTGGATAGGAGCCACTGTGAGCTCTACAATGTCTTTCAATGTCATAAGTATTTGCCATGCTGGATCATCACAAGGAATTCTTGATCCAATAAGCAGTGGCAATGACCTTATGAGTGCCCAGTTCTCGTGAGCATTTCCTCCTATACTACAACGACTTGAAAAATTTTCTTTTTTTTTTTTTTTTCCTTTGTAACCAAGCAAAGCGGCCATAATGCACTTGCAAAATTTTCTGGAATGGTTTGAGGACGGTCAACAGTATCTGCAAACCTGAAGGGAAACTTCTTTATCAGGTCATTTAGATCTGACAGTGTAAAGTACGTACTGTTAATGAAAGCAGAAAGGCAAAGTGCTAATTCTGAAGGAACTATTCCTTCAAAAAGGTCATGGAGTATGTCAGGAGGATATCCAGTAACAAAATGGAAGTGACTTAGTTTTTCTGTCAGTGGACAAGCTCTCTTGACACCATAACATTGTAGTGATTTGGAATTTTCTCTTATAGCCTTGACATGCAATTCATGGGCTTCTTTTGTTCTCTTTTGAAATTCTCTTCCCTGCTTTTGACAGTAT